CAGGGGATGGTGAAGACTGCATGAAGGCAGGGAGAAACACACTCAGGTGGGGAAGTGAAGGCAGGTTGAATTTCAAAGATAACTGGAAACAGGCACTTGCAGAGGGTGGTGAGTCCAGTGCAATCAATTCCATATCACTTTTCATTTCCCAGTTCTCCTCTGATTAGTAAAAGCTAATGTAAGGAAAGCGATTCTTTCCCACCTCTATTTCCCTCCCCCCCCATCACAGCCTGCAAGTAAGTGTAAGTCTGCTTTATGTGTTTATTTGAGCTTTGGTGCTATTTGAAATTTCCATTAAAATGTGTGGCCATTTACAATGATTTGTGTCCAAATTAGTAAGTGCACACTTTGGGAGTGAGAGAGGGGGAAGGCTAGTGAAATTTGAAGGGTGTTCCTCAATTCAGGTTGAGGTGGGATGAACTGATAAGACAGAGAATATTTGAGATAATAGAGCAGCTAGTTGGTGTGGTAGAGTGCCAGCCCTAGAGTCAGAAGATACATCTTCCTGAGTTCAAATTTGGACTCAGACACTTACTGGCAATGCGGCCATGGGCAAGTCATTTAAACTTGTTTACCTGTTTCCTCATCTGTAAAATGACTTGGAGAAGGAAATAACAAACTTCTACAGTCTTTTTGCCAAGGAAATCCCTAAAGGGGTCACAAAGAGTTGGACATGACTGAACACTGACATCTGAGATGGTAGTCTCTGAGATATCCATACCCTAGACTGTTTATGAACTTGGGGAAAGACTTCATACAGAAATAAACTAGTAGCAGTGATAGGTATGTTTGTTCAGTTAGCCACCTTGCACATAGCACCCATCTAGTACCCTTAATCTGTCTACAATAGTTAACATATCATATAACAGGACACATTTATTTACTACATCTTAGTAGGGAACCATTATATAATATAAGGTTGGGGTGAGGCAAGCACATTTGACTTTTTGTACCTAAAATAGTATTAAATAGCATGAACCTGTCCATCTTTTATTTGAATTGAACCAAAGTAGCTCTACCTCTCATAATAATAATTACCAGATGCCATGATTCTGGGTCTATAGCTCTTTTATGATGAGAAACTCTTTTTTCCTCCCCTCTCAAGTCTTAATACTGATTATCATATAAAAAGAAAGGTCTAGTGATGGAGGATTTTATGAAAGGAAGCGGTGGGGAAAGGGAAAACCTCTGTTAATACCTTACATTATTTCACATTTGTCATGATCCTATCATTTCTGAAATGACCACATTGCCAAAGTAGGGGCAGGTGGGTTGTGGCTTGAGTTAAAGCATGCATGACACTGGGGTCCACATTGAGTCCTCTGGTCAGGTAGGAAAAACATGGAGGACTAAATGCACTGGTGGATTTCCTAATATCATCACATAACTGGCATATAGCAATAGAATACAAATTCTGCCATGCCTTCCTAGAAGGGCTCTGCCTTTACATAGGAGAGCATTGTAGAATATTGCTTGTTTTATAGGCCAAGGAAGTAAAAGTTTCTTGGCCATTAAAGCACAGATCTAATTCAGAGCACCCACAGCAAAAGAGAAATAAAGTAGAAAACGATGAGCATCTAACAAGGACTATTCAAACCCTGGTGTGAATTGATTTTCTGTGTGCTGATGAAGAGAAAGAAATACAAAGAATTTGTAGTAATGAGGCTATGATGGGGAAGTAGATTCTATCAGGCAAGTTTTGAAGTGTTTGTAAATAAATATATGGCCTTTCTATATCTAACATTTACAATGCTAATTCATTATATGTGTATTGATTTTTAACAATCCTTTGTCTTTATATCACATTTGTTTCTGAATATATTCAATGTAACAAAGAAAAGTAAGAAAACAATGACAAGAACAAACACAAACACAGTTCATCTAAACTAGCCAATATATTAACCTTGCATACAGCAGATGCAATATTCCACAGGTATAGTACCCCACCTAAAATTGAAAGACTTTCATGAGCAAATAACAATCCAGTAAGATAAGAAAGGAAATCATTGATGGAGTTGGGGAGTGGGGAGGAAATCTGTACGTCAAATATGTCTGATGAATTATAGAGAGAATTAAGAGTTTCATTTTAAATCTATGTGACAGCAATAATTAATTTTTAAGTAATAACTCTTAGCTATTATTACCTACCTAGAATGACCTGCCAGGATGGTCATAATTGAATTAGAATTATGGATGGCTACTTGCAAAAAAAAGAAAGTCATAAGCAGGCTCTTTTTTTAATTTAATGGAATTAAAGAGAAAAAAATCTTTAACAAAACTACCTGGCATTATCAACAGCCTTCATGAATTATATTTCTAGTATTGCATAAATTGATGTAGTCTTCAAATATGGAAACACTAAGCCATTCAGAAGACGTTTTGATAATGAGAAAAATATTTATGCACTCAGCAAACTGTCAGTGAAGGTGGTTTGAATTGGATAGGCTATTCAATTGGGATAGTTTCAAGACTGCAAATAATTTTTGCCATGAAATGATTTTTAAAATGAATACAGGAAACTTAGATTGATATGCACAAGATCCATTATTTGGGAAAAGGGTAGAACAGATTGTTGTTTCTGTTATCCACATGTGGCAACAGATTCCCTGAAAGACAATTCTGCTGCTTTCTTTACTCAGGCAGTGCTGACTTTAACAAAGAGACTAATGCCATGGTCTGTAGATGGTGTTCGTAATCATGTCAAATGGCTCTACGTTTCACCTTTCCTTTTCTCTTTCCTAGTCCCATAGTGTGCTTTTTAGCTCACCTCAGTGTCTCCATCACACTTACTAATTGTGTCTGTTTTTGTAATGACTCCCTGTTGTCTTATGAAATACTTTGACAAGTTTAAGGTAAGAAAAGGATTTGTTGCAGCTGTTTTAGGAACATGTAAAAGTTAAAGTGACCATTTAAAGAGTGAAGAGTGACATAAAACAAATCTGCCACTCATATCCAAAACTATATAAATTGGAACAGCATGGCAAATTTTCACAATGATCAAATCAGCAACATAGCATCCCTCAAAAACAATAAAGCAGACTCAATTTCTACCTGCCCTTACGTGGTATTTAGGATTTAGATCATAAAGTCACAAACCACAGAAGAAGCTACCACAGAAACTAAACAGATTCTAGCTCAAGATCTGAGCCAATCACACCCCAGTTACAAAGATTAACAGATGGTGGCTTCAGATAGTACTTAATCTGTAAGTATCATCCTGATTTCTTATGTTTTAAATCAGAGGTGTCAAACACATGGCCCACAACTACTCCTGAGTGTGACCCATACTAGATTAAAATGTAATCAGGAAATATTTACCAAATAATATAAATAAATAAAAATACAATAAAACATAGATAACATTACATTTTAAAACCAAGACAATATTTGGCCCACAGGATCCTTATGTACAGATTAGGGATCCCATTTCTATTTGAGTTTGATACCACTGATCTAAACTGGTTAGTACACAGAATTAACCACATAGTACAACATCTGTTTGTTTTACTTCCTTTCTTTCACAAATGTCTTCTTGAACATTAGATGTTGAGTATGGATTAAATATACAAACAGATACATAGGCCATTTTTATTTAGGGTGTCAATGTGCAGTGGAAATCCAATAGATGGGAATGTGGGTTTTTGAGGCATTTTACTCAACAGATCTGATAGCTTCATGTCGATTCCAGTTAATCACAACAACTCTTAGTTCTGGTTGATTGTTGCTTGAATGTCCAGCAATTTAGCAGCAGTGATTCTTTTGGAAAGAATTTCAAAAGTAGAAATTATATTGTTTTGTGCCCTTCTTTTCCCATCATTGATCCACTCTCTAAGAAAGCAAAACCTTTCTCCATTTGCCAAAGGCTAAAAATCCCCCCTTCCCCCGTACAAAAGTACAAAGGGCTAGTATGTTTCCAGAGCTTACTGGTCATTAATAAAAGCTGACGCGTATGTAGCACTTTAAGGTTTGCAAAGTGCTTTACAAATATTTTTTCATTTGATCCTCACAACAGTCCTGGAGGGTAGTAGCTATTATTATCCTTATTTTACAGTTGAAGAAATTGAAGTAGGCAGAGGTAGTGACTTGTGCAGGTTTATACAGCTAGTATGTATCGAGGCCAAATTTGAACTCAGGTCTTCCTGACTCCAGGTCCAGTGCTCTACCCACTCTGCCACCTAGTTTTCTTAAAATAGTTTTAGACTTATGCCAAATACATGGCTATTTTGAAAATGATGACATATCTTGTCTTCTTAGGAAATAAAATATTAGAAGGCATAATCACAGTAATTAGCTACAAGTGGAAGACTAGGTGCTGACCTGCTTTGATAAATAGAGGTTTGTCATAGAGAACTCCATTTACTAAGACTAGACCACAGGTCTGGTCCAAAAATAAAAGCACGTATGTATATGTGGGTGTATCACTTTAAGGGCAGCTAGATGGTATAGTGAGAGCACTGAGCCTGACATCAGGAAGACCTGAGTTTAAATTCAGCCTCAGACACTTAACTAGCTGTTTGACTCTAAGCAAGTTACTTAACCCAGTTTGCCTGAGTTTCCTTATCTCTAAAATGAGCTAGAGAAGGAAATAGTAAGCCACTTCACTATCTTTGCCAAGAAAACTCCAAATAGGGTCATAAAAAGTCAGATATGACTGAAATGACAATGCTGTCAATTTAAAGTTTACAAAGTACTTTATTTCATTTTAGTTCCACAACAATCTTGTGAGGGAGGTAATAACAGATTATTTCCTTTAAAAATAAAGAAACTGAGTCAGAGAAATTAGGTGACTTTGGTAGGGTCACACAACTATATATTAGAGACAATATTTCCATCCATGTCTCCCTGATTCAGTGACTCTACAGTAGAATGGCTGAGAGCCAACCCTTTTAATTTTTTTGTTACTTGATTTTTTTTTCATTTCCAAATATAATATGTGCCCACTTCTGAAAATAACTTCTTTTAACTGTTTTGCCTCTTCCTTTGTCTCTCTATCCATCTAGGTCTGCAGCACCAGGACAAGAGCAAGGAGTCTCCTTGGTTCTGAAGCACACAATAGTAGCAAGTAAATCTGGATTCAGAACCCCGGGACAACTGGCATGGAGCTGTCACCAGTGTTTCTTTATTTCTGCATGAGGACAAGATACATATTCATTGAAGGAGAAGATGAAAAATCAGACATTTTGGTTTTGTTTTGGAGCCTTTTCTTGAGAAGGCTTAATGGGACCTAGAACACTGAAAAAAAAAGTCTTTGTTTGTTTGATTCTTCCCTTATCTGAGCCTGTGCAACTCTCCTCTCTTTGCTCTTTTCAACAGCATGATTTATTTTCCATTTAATTTTGATTTTTGTTCCTTTTAAACAAATCACCTTGTTTGTCAGGAAAAGCCAAGCCACAATGGCAATGCTCATCCTTTCAGGAATACAATTTTGTAGCTCTCTGTGCATCTATTTTTGTAGAAATACAGAAAGTGTGGTCTAGCATTGATGGGCTATTTTAGAGGGATGTATTTTTTTTAAAAAAATTGTAAAAATTGTTAGGTTCTGTTTAAAGAACTTGCTCTCAGAGAAGCACTGGCAACAATATATAAAAATGCTTACTTGTAGATATCTGTGATGTGATGTGTCTATGTTTTTCAGGTTACCTCAAGTGTTTGATATTTTTCCTTTTAAAGATGGTAGCACATTGCCAAACCAGTATGGTATTGTTTTCACATGATAGTGCTTTGAAGGGTTGAAACTTTCAACTCTTGTCCTAGCTTATACAGCTATTAGGTGCATATATGGTTTCAAAGGAAAGTTCTTCAGTGTTCATGGTAGAGCAGAAAATGAATATTTCATTTCTTTGGCATCATCTGAAGAGTTTGCCCATAGTATCATAGTTATATTCCCAGCTCATCCAGCCTGCATAAGTGTATCCAGAATTCATACGGGCAATTGGTAACCCATTAGTTCCAGTGAATCTGGTCCATTGTTTCAAATTATCTATTCTTGGTAGCATAAAGTCCCATTGTTTTAAGTGGATTTTTTTTCCTGGTGAGAGATTTGAAAAGGGAATATGCAAGTTTTGTAATAAGCAAGGTGCTCTACAAATCACAAAACTATGAGCTTAATAGTTATTTCATAAGAGTACTCCAAATTTTTTTTCTTTTTTCTTTTTCTCCCTCTGACATCTGAAACCAAGAGATTGCTATGGCACAGTAGATGGAAAGCTTGCCTTAGAATCCAGAAGCCTAGGTTCAAGTCCCACATCTGACACATACTAGCTCTGGGACCAGTTAAGTCCCTTAACCCTCATTGCTCTAAGAGGTTTTCTAAAGCTCAGTTTTTGAAGAGAAGTTTCTGACTTGCATTTGTGGAGGGATTGTCTTTACTTTGGAGTCCCTATATCAGTGAAATCACAGGTCCAGTTCCTGTCCATGCCATTTAAGGAAAATACATATACTCTGTAATATTTCCAGCATATATTTTGCAGTTCTTGAAGTGTACTTTTTTTTTAAGTGAACATTTCTAAGGCAAACCTATGGGTATGATCAGAACCAAGGAAGAATTTGATTTGGGTTATTAATCAGCATCATTTAGAATGTGTTAATTGAAAAATTATGGATTCTGAAGGGAAAGGCACAGATCAAATGAGATGAAATTTCATGTTTGTGATATTGATTTGTACAGAATGTGTACTGACATTGAGAATCAATGAACAGAGTATAGGCATTGGTATTTCTTATCATCTTCAGTGGTTAAAAATATGACTTGTTACTTTCTTTGGTAATTCCAGAGCTGAGCAAAGTTGAAAAATGAGCTCCAAGAACTTCTAAGTTTTGTTTGCTGGGATGATTTCTCATTTTCCCTTTCCTTATGAAATTCAAAGTACAATAAATTACCACTTTAAAGCTTGAAGCATATATTTCTGTGTATATATATCTTAGTATGTTAAACAACACCATAAACTTAGCTAGGATGGATTTTCATAACTGATTTTCAAATCTATGGTTATATTTTGTGGATCTCTGCTTTTCTTCTTATAACCTGTGTATTCTTTCTTATATATCCTTTGGGTTCTAGGCCTTTATCTTCCCTCTGTTTTTACTATGTTTTGGTTTCATAATGTTCTTCTTAACTGGACACAACTTTAATATAATACGCCCCTGTGAATTGCCTTCATTTCTTTCTGGTGTATACTCGAAAGTTAGGGTAACTTCCATGTACGGGTGATAGGCATTAATAATAGTAGCTAGGATTTACATAGCGCTTTAAGTTTTGCAAAGTGTTGTACATATGTTAACTCTATTATCATGCTCATTTTACACATAAGGTAACTGAGGCTGAGGTTAAGTGATGCTTAGTGTATAAAGTGGGATTTGAACTCCCTCAAAGTTCAGTGTTTACCCACTTAGCCACTTAACTGTCTCCCACTCATTCAGTAGGATGTGGGCTTGCCCTCTAGGAAATTATAGCATGGCTAACTGTGTTGATTCTGTTATTGAGAATGGCAAGTGGAAGTTATGTTCTGAAGAAACTGCACTATAACCACTCACACACATGTCCTTAACATTTTTCAGTACTCATTTTAACATCATTTCTACTCAGAAGTGGGAAAGTCAAAGATTTACACTAGAACTCGATTAAAATATATTAGCAATTAATCATTGGACTATCATTTGAGCAAAGCAGGCTATAAAACAGGTTCCTTACTGCTCCCTTCTCCATTTCTGTCATAAAATGCAGACATTATTCTATAGTTAAGCCAGGAAGTCCTAGGTTCAAGTGTTGTCTCTGACACATACTTGCTGCGTAACCCTGGGCAAATTGTTTAATCTCTCCATGTTCTAGGCAACTGTCTAGGCTACAGGTTACAGAAAAGGTGCCAACCTGCATTGGTAAAAGGAGATTCCTCACCTTGGGAATCACAGGTCAATCCATATCCTTATGGCCTGGTTATTTTCCACAAGTCAAGCTTTCAGAACTCCTTGAATTTCTGTTCTTTCACTAGGTGTGGGAAATAAAATTTTAAACTCATAGTATGCTCTGGTTTCTTAAATACACCAATTCATAAAGAAATAAATTAACTCTTTCATGGTGGATGATTCTATAGATTTTCATTTGATTTACTTTTATTCATCAGTGACTCCAAAGTTCTGCCTCATGTAGCTAATACAATCAGTTGACTTAGAATATCAAGATTTGGGATTCTTTCTCCATTGTGTTTTAGGTTTTCTTCACAACTGAGCTTAAAAAAAAAAGGAATTGCATTTGAAGTTGGCCGTTAATTCGTTTACCTTCAAGCTTGAAGAAAAGTAGTAAAATCTGGTAGAAAAAAAAATTTCCATATGAGGGGGAGGAAAATACTTTATAAATAATCCCAGTCAGCAGATTTACTCAAGTTTAGGGGGAAAAAAATAGAAACTATCAGAAGCAGATGTGTACAATGTGTCTGTTATTGAAGATGGAAGGAGTTCACTACTACCAGTCCAGTTACAAAGGAGTATTGATGGCAGTTAAAAATACTGTGATTGATCACCTTTTCAGGGAGAGAGAAGAGGGCAAAGGCTTTTAAAGGCAATCCTGAAAGCACCTGGCCAGTTTTCATGTATAGTATCAGCAAGTACTCAATACTTTTATTCTACAGGAGTGCAGTTATACACATCTTTCTAAAAGGATAAGTTCCTCTTACATTTTGCTTACTTTGGTATTGGTCACTATCTTTGGAGAAAAGATATTTTCATTGTGTAATAAAATGACCTTAAAGCACTTTTAGACCCATGATGAAAACACCTGTTTTTGAAGATATTATTTACGTGAAATTACCATTAGTGTAACAGTCAAAATTTAAGAATCTTTTGATAGGCTTTCTCTCTTTAATCCTTTCTGAGAATTAATTGTATCAAAGGCACTCTTTCCAGTATGATAGAAATACTGTTGATCTTTATGAGAAGGTATCGACATTCTTTTATGTCTTTTATCTTCTATAACACCAGGTTTTTTTGTTTATTTCTTTAGTGTTTTGCCTTAAATGTCAAAAGGCTGCATCCACTAGTTTTGCTGCATCCACTAGTTTTCTCCTTATACCTGTCAGTGGAATTGATATGCCTCAATAATTCAATATGGCTATTTGTTTCCTAATGGTTCCAAAGATCATTGTATGCCAATGTAACAGCACGTGGGACGCAAATGGGGATCAAACAAATGGGGAATGAAAAAAAATCAGGAAAGTAATATTTTGTGCATGACCACTGTTTTAGAAGGATAATTCTTCATTTAACTTTTTAGTATGCAATCAACATTAGAACTTTTCTTTGGCCTCTATTAATAGAGTACATTTCCTTATGTGGTTGGTTAGGGCAATAATCACTAATTGCTAATCTATACCAATTTTAATTTCTGAAAATAATTAGAATCTTGAAAAAAATTAAAGTTAATTCATAAATGATAATTCATACACACAATTTAAAAAACTACAACACAGAATTATATTTTTCTTTGTATTCTTAAAGAAAAATGTTCAATAGAATCTTTTTTCATCCTTAAATACTAGGGCAGGAGAATTGTAATTGGAAAAAGGGATTACTACCTAGCAGTGGGAATTCTGTAATTTACATTATTGAATTAGGAAGCTGCAAATTAATATAGAAAACATATATTGGCAGGCAAAGTAACTCCAAGCTAGTTAGATCTATAAGCAGTTTTCATACTAGCTGAAGATTGCATTTCTAGAGTGGAAGATTTGCACATCTCAGCAGCATTAAATGTCTATGAAATCACACCAACAGGACCATACACACTAACCTCAAAAGTTGATTTACAAATGATGGTATTTTCTCAAACAAACAAAAACACCACCATACTCCCCTACCCCTACCAATTCTGATCATCCCTTCAATAAAACTGCCATTAGTATGTGTAAATGATATGAAATGATGAAGAACTTTGTATTAAAAAGTGTCTTTGTTTAATAAATAATTTAATGTGAATTTTAATGATTATATTTTAATGTAGCATTTTGTTTTGTTCTGTATTTACAATTGGCTAATGCATTCTTGTTTCCTTCATATTCAACAAAAAACTCATAAATATCTTTGTAAATTTCAGTGTCTTGTTTTTTTTAAAAATAAGTTTGATTTGAGAGCCAAGGAATTTGTATGATTCAGTAAAGGAGCACAAATATGTCTTTACATTTGAAGTACTAATGAAATTAAGTTATATAAGTCACATATGGGGCCTTGTAACTAAAGTTTTTCAATGAGGGTTCTTCTAGTTATCAGCTGATTCGTTGGGAGGACTTTTTACATTTGTTAAATCTAATGTTCACTGTGGCCACAGGAACTCACCCCAAAGTGTCACTCTTCTATTCGTATAACTTAGTGACACAAAAGAAAAAAATTGTAAAGGAGTGAATTGAAACACTGGGGAATTTGGTTTTAAGGAATAATAGCATGTCAAAGCTGGCAGGGAACTTGAATAGATTGCAAACCAATGCCCTTATCTTGTAGATGAAGATATTGAGGCCCAGAGAAGTTTGAGGACTTGCCTGAGGTCAAGAAAGTTGCAGAGCTCAGACACCTTACATGGAAGCACCCCACGCCTTATAATGTCAATATTTAATCATGTGGCTCTTTATGTTGAAAATGTTAGGAAATACAGTTTAGACAAATCTAGATTCTCCGGCATTTTTGATGAAGGCTTGTCATAGGTCCCCTTGTTTAGATTATACTAATGTAGGATTTTAATCATGTTTCCATCCATCACTAATCATAGAATCATCTATTTGGAGCCAAAGGGGACTTTAGAAGTCCTCTAGTCCAATTCATTTTATAGATGGGAAAATTTTAGGCCGGGGAGATTAAGTGTAATTAAACTTAACAAAGATCATACTGTCACTACGTGGTAAGAGTCAGGATTCAAACCCACGCTTTCTGACTATAAATTTGGTGTTCTTTTTGTTGTACCATAAGGAGTCAGTATTTCAAAAGTGTAAATATTCAGACACTATTGGAGAATGATGTTCTGAAAAAAAAAGAGGGGAGGAAACTTTGTTGCTTTTATCTTTATCTGTTCAATGGTCTCAGTTGAAGAAAATCCTTGGTTCCATTTCTGTTTCAAATGGTCTCTGAGGGACATCTCAGAATCCAAAGGGTTACACTGTATTTATGTGAGACAGGCGCTAAGTAGGGTGGAGACCAAGACATCTGTTGAGAATTCTTCATAGCTGAAGTGTGTTTTCTCAGGGGACAACCAACTACTATTTAATTGTTTTACTTCCTTTTTTGGAAATGTATGCCCGTTCTGCAATGTTCCAAATTTCCAAATATCCTTTTGACCTCCTCATAAACAATTGATAAAATTGATAAGAAAGCTGTAAAGCTTTGTACTTTTACCCAAGCTGAATCAGTACATCTGCTATGAGTTAGCCAGTAGAAAGGAAAAAATAAATTTTAAAGAAAAGCAAAGAAAACATTTTGATCCACTTAATGTGTAAAGCAGGTATCCATGCCTTGGAATTTTGCTAATCAATACATAATTTGTGTGTCTGAGTTAGCATGAACTAGTGAAATACAAATATTTGATTTTCCATACCAAGTTTGGCTATGACTGAATGAAGGGCACTGGCATTGATCTTTTACTTTACACTTATATAAGAAAGAGACTATTTGTAGAAAGCCAAATATAGCAACAGAAGATTTTGTATCTTGCCAAAAAATACAAAATCTGTTCCCCTTTAAGCATGACATTCTATCCTTTTCTTGTGGATCAAGCTAAAAGGAAAATATAGCTTTAAATGACCCCACTCCTTCTGTTGGAAGCTCCCTAATCTTTTTCAAATGGGCCATCTGTGGTTTTGTGGGTTATGTGATTCAAAAAAGAATATGGCAACATGAGAAATCCATTCAGTTCTGTCTTTTTCCCTCATCAGAAATTACAAACAAATCACACATTGTGGACAGCAATAAAGCCAATCACCTTTAAATGAATTGGGTTTCCCTCCCAGACCAACCATCACCATCACCACCAGCAACAACAGCAGTAACAGCAGTGGCAACAACTACAAACTGGTCATATTTTATTTGTTTTGAACAATTACAATTAATTGATTGTTTGGTGGATTGTATCAGCCTTAAACCTTGGTTCTGGTTTTACTTTACAAAGTATTTTCCCGGGTTTGGAACTCACATCATGTTCTAAGGTGATTAAGCAAGGAATGAGTCTTCTGCTCTGCACATGATGTGAAGTATATTGAAAACAGTTCTGTACACGTCACCAAGCAAAGAGATTTCCACTGACTGCTTTACCAGACATCTCAGTGTGGGATTTTAAAACAAACACCAGGCTGTTGGGAAATACTTGATGTATGTAAATATGCAAAACATGCAGGACAGTTCTAACAGCTGTAGGGTGTATTCTCTCATCCATGAGTAGAATATTTTGGTGGCAGTACTGGTTATTTTTTCCATCTTTGCTTGTCATTTTTATTTTCTCTTTTTCCTCTCTCCCTTTTTCCAAGACCATACAATAAGGCTTCCTCTCTCCTCCTATCCCCTCCAACAAACCTTTTCCAAAAAGAATCATTTTACTAGATTCCCACTGGAAAAGGTGGGTGGTGCCTGGAAGGAATTTTTCTGAGTTACATGGTTTTGTAAAGACAGTCTGAACTTCAGGGAACTTGCTTGGACTTGTACTAAAACCAGGCTTCTGCATAACCCAGATGCTTTGGAGGCAAGATTCCATTGAAGCTTGTCATTAGAATGGGAAGGAAAGTCTTATTGGGAATGGTCCTTAAACAGTGATGACCCCCAGCCAGCAAGGAATTATTACTTTAGGATTGTTTGTATCTTGTACCATAAAATCAGGGAACTCATCCTGTCTTGAAAATCAGCATGTGCTCCTGAACCTAGAGTCAAAGAAAAATGAGAAAAGACCTAGGATAATATGATAAGAGCTCTAACAAAAACCAGAAACCTGGTATTAGGTCTAAGCAATTCAATCTAATTTTACTATTCCCTTCGAATTTGGTTTTCATGAAGTGTTCTGGGGCTGAAGGTCAGGAGGGGAGATTTTAAAGAATCGTATAATTTGAGAGTTGAAAAGGTCCTTAGTATTATCTTGTCAAACTCATACTAAAAATGACTATCCATTAAACCATGTATGAGAAATGGGCATCCAGCCTCTATTTGAAGATGTCCAGAATCAAATGAGATAATATTTTTTAAAAGTGCTTAGCACAGTGCCTGGCACACAGTAGATGCTACATAAATGCTAATTGCCTTCTTCTTTCCTTCTCTTCCAGAGAAAGGAGCCCACAACCTCTCAAGGTACCCCATTCCATTTTTGGACAATTCTTATTAAAAGGAATTTTATTTCCTGACCTCAAGCCACATATTTTCCTCTTGGCAGCTTGTACCCATTGCTCCTGTTTCTGATCGAATGCACCAAATACAGTAAGCTTAATCTTTCTTCCACATGACAGCCTTTCAAATACTTTAAGAGAGCTATATTTTCCCCCCTTTTCACCACCCCTTGACTTTTCTTCTAAACTTCTGAACTTCTAAATATCCTTAGTTCCCTTTTTTCTGCCACTGGGCTATGGAAGTCAGTTTTGTTAGGAGCCCTGGATTCTAGCTCCATTTTAGCTACCATATCTACCTTTCTTTTTACCTCTTTTGAAAAAAAAAAGAGGGGTGAGGAGGATAATAGTAACTGCCTTGTCAAACTGAGACAGGGTTATGGGGATGATTGAACAGAGGTAAGCTTTAAATGCTATGGTTGCATAAATTACTTTTTATGTCTGCGGTAATTGCCATATACATATGTACATACATACATACATACATACACACACACACATATATCTATATCTATATCTATATCTATATCTATATCTATATCTATATCTATATCTATATCTATATCTATATCTATATCTATATCTATATCTATATCTATATCTATATCTATATCTATATCTATATCTATATCTATATGTAATTGGGAATATCTAAAAGGAGGAGAGCTGTGGGTACAGTCAATGAATATGTAGAAGATCAAAAAGCATGCTGGCAGGCTTGAAAATGTTAGAAAATATTTTAAAGCAAAGCTATAGTTCTCCCAGTTTATGGTATCATCCACCTCATGTTGCCATGACACTGCACTTTTAAAAGGGACATTATCAGTTATTATTTACAGTATTTTAAGGCATTTTGAATCCCAAATATGCTTTGGCAGGTGATTCTAGTAAATTGTTCACGTGGGTATAACTCACCAGCCTAACTATAAAAAGTCAAGTCAGTAAGCATTTATTTAGTCCCTAGTAAGTGACAGGCATGGGAATACAAAGAAGGACAAAAACAGTTCCTGTCCTCAAGGAGCTTACAATATAATGAGGATGGGGAGACATGTAAGCAATTTTTTACAGAGATATATACAGGATAAATTGGAAATAATCTTAGAGAGAAGATACTAACATTAAGAAAGAACAAGAAAGGCTTTTTGCAAATAGTAAGATTTTGAGTTGAGATTTAAAAGAAGGCAGGGAAATTGAGAGAAAGAGATGAGGAAACTGAATTCAGGGCATGGGAAACAGCAGTGTACTAAGTAGGTAAATTGAGTGTGTGTGTGTGTGTGTGTGTGTGTGTGTGTGTGTGTGTGTGTGTGTTTCCTGAAAAACAGTAAGAAATCCAGTCAATGAATTATATTATATACTAGTGAGAGAATAAGATACAAAAAGACAGAAAAAATTGGAAGGGACGAGGTGATGAAGGATTCAAAAAGTCAAAGGATTTTCTACATGGTGCTGGAGATTATAGGAAGCCACTGGAATTTATTGAATATGGAAGTGACATGTTTAGACCTACACTTTAAGAAGACAATGGATAAGTGGAAGATGGACCGGAGTGGGGAGACACTTGAGGCAGGGAGGCCAAGCAAACTATTATAAAAGTCCAGTTGAGGTGATGATCTACACCAGAATAATTGCAGTTTCCAA